GGTTTGCACGCTGATCAACGGCTTGCGCGCCGAACCACCCCTGAGCGTCTCGGAGGCCCCCGAAACCCCATACTCACATTGTATTAGGTTTAGGGTTTGTAGGTCTTCTTACAGGCTTTGTAGGTGTATCAGGTTTAGGGGAAGTTTAGGGTTGAGGGTTTGGGGGTATTATGGCATGTAGCGTTTGAGGGTGTATAAGCATTAAAGTTGTGGGTTCAGGGCTTCTAGGTTTCAGGGTTTAGGTTGTGAACGGTTTGGGAATCGGGGTTTGTAGGTTTTCGGGTTTAGGGTGTAGACTGTTCAAGGGTTGAGGGTTTATAGGCTTTGGGCTTTGGGTGCGTAAGGTTTAGGGCTGAAGCTTGTCTAGGCTTGGGGTCGAGGGTCTGAAGCAGCCAACTTGGCCCTGTTTAGGGTTTCGGGTTCAGGGTTTAGGGTTTAGGGTTTAGGGTAGTTTAGGGTTTCCTTCAGCCTGAAGCCTTCAGTCTAAAGAGCCTCCAAGACCAGGAGCACCAAAACCTGCACCCTAAACCCGAGAGCTCACAAGCCCGTTCACCTGCCGAAAGGACCATAGGTCTGGCGTGCCCCCACCAAAAAAGGGGGGTTTGGATCCAGGCTTTCGATTTGAAATTTCAGGTTCTAGTCTTTAGGGTGCCCTGCGCCCCCAGCCATAACTAACCTCTAAGCTTAGAAGAATCTTAGGTAGCTGTTTTAGTTCTGGTTTGCATATTTTTGTTTTTTTTGTTTTTGTTTTTTGCTGGGGGGGGGGGGGGGGGGTTGGGGCGGTTCGGGCTTACGGCTGAAGGCTTCCGAGGAAACGTTTCGGTGCAGCGCGGAGTTCGAACCGTGTGCCACCCGACACTCTCATGCCTTCACCTAGAAAATCCTACAGGTTTCCAATCATCCAAACATCCCAAACCAAGCTAGCAAGGAATTAAACCCTGGGCCTTAAAGCCTAAACCCTTGTGTACCTCCAAGGGACCCTGGCTCCAAGCCCTAATCGGTTTCAGGGTTTTGTGGGTGTGGGGTTCAGGGCTTCGGGTTCATGTGAAGTTTCGGGAAATCTGCAGAAACCCCAAAGGCGCGGTGCCGGAAGCTTGCGAAGAAGTTTGACGTGGATGCCATGTTCTTTGTTGGGCCAGAGGAGGGGGTTTCAGGAGGGTTTAGGGTTTAGGGTTCAGGGTTCAGGGTCCAGGGTTTAGGTGTTAGGGTTTTTGGGTTTAGGGTTGGGTTGGGGAGGTTTAGGTGTTTTCTGGCTTAGGGCTTAGGGTTCACACAACGCCGATACTCCAAACGGCCAACCCTCAAACAGACTCAACCTGCTGTAAAGCATTCTTCAAGAGAGAGAGAGAGCGAGAGAGAGAGAGAGAGTAAGGAATACAAATGAATATACTGTGTACATACATATATATATAGAGTTATATTCATATTTATATTTTGCATATACATATATATATATATATATATGTATATATTATGTATATACATACATATATATGTATGTATATATATATATATATTATACAGAGGGACCCTGGAGGGTTGAGTTGACCAGCCTGACGTAAGCATTGACACATGTACTTGCTAGAGGGGGAGGAGAGAGGGACAAAGGGAGAGAGAGGGAGAGGGAGAGAGGGAGAGCGGGAGAACCCTGAACCTAATCCCTAAACTTCCGCATGCAAGAGTCCCAAGACCCGAAGCATGTCGCCCGGAGGAGTTCTTAGACTTGCTCCGCTACGTGGCAACAGTTCGACACACGGAGGTTCTCCTGGGAAAATAGGGCCGACCCGGGGGGGAGGGAGGCTTACGTGTTCGGGCTCGGCATCCAAGAGAGAACTTAGGGTTTGGGGTTTAGGGCTTAGGGTTTAGGGTTTAGGGTTCAGGGTTTAGGGTTTAGGGTTTAGGACCCCCTAGAGCTTGCATTGGGGGTGGAGATAGGGGTCTTGGGACTTTCGGCTCTATGACTCGTGGTGGTGCTGGCTCATATGAAGCAATTTGCTCTGGGAGGTCTTGAAGGAATTCTGGCGGGGGCCCTTGATTTTCTACCTTATATACATATCCAACACACACACACACATATACATCTATCTATCTATCTATATATATATGTATAGAGAGAGAGATATGTGTATGTATATGTATATGTATGTGTATATGTATGTGTATGTGTATGGGTATGTGTATGTGTATGTGTGTGTGTGTTTGTACTCAATATGTATATATATATATTATATATATATATATACATACGTATATACATGTATTATACACATCTTAGATGGTCCGTATATGCCAACAGTAGCCCCTAGTTTTGGGCTTGGTTTTGTTGGGTGTCGGACGTCTGAAGAACTTAGCGACTTGAGGGCATCGACAGGGAGTTGGGTTTTGGTTTACGGTCTAGTGTGATCCTTTTTCCGCTTGACAGCGGAACATGAACCTTAGTTGTTGTGTATGTTCTTTCTCTTCCCAGTATATAGGGTATTCTAGTTCGGCCCTTGGTCCCATGCATGTGTCTCACCACACAGCGGGCTGCGAGGAAGCCATGCATCAGAGCAAATCGTGATGGGCTCAGCCATTTGCACGTCCTGCGCTGTGCTCCCCTAAGCCCCAAGCCCATGCACCAGCGGAGATCACAGGGTGCAGGCCTTCCTCGCATCTGGAGTACTTCCTTCTTCACCAGCCTGGGCCGACATGAGCTATCAGGCTGCATGTGCCTTCAAGCCTCTTATCCCACGCATCCTTAAACCCTAAACTCTCAACCCTAAACCCTCAACCCTAAAACCCTAAAACCCTACACCCTAAACCCTAAACCTCAGGGGCCTTCAGGGAAGGCCAAAGCCCCCCGACACCCCAATCTCGAACCTGAAGTCTTCGCTCCGCGCCAGCCAGCGCTCTAAGCCTTTGACCTTTCCCCGTAAGCCGCAACGCGGGTTTAGGGTACGACATCTCGTTTAGGGGTTTGATGGGCCAGCAGTTTGGGGCTTGGGTTGCCGGAGTTTTAGGCAATGTAGGCTGCAAGTCTTCCGGAAAGATCGCATCCTCGAGTCTCTTCGGCTTAGAGCAACCTACAGGGGTTTCCGATATTAGGGGTACCTGAGTGGGGTCCTGATTAAGAGGGAATCCTACCATTTGGTTTTTTTTTTTAAGGGGCCGCTGATTTTCGGAAACCTGCATATATCCTTTAACACGAGACATGGCTTGACTATTGTGTATAACACGTTCCCGTTTCTGTTTTTCGGGGTTTGCTGGTTACTCTAAGCAAGGCATTAGGGTTTCAGAGGTTGTTGGTGGCGGTTTCCTTTGTTCATGTGGTGGGTTCATTAGGGTTTAGAGATTGGAGTTTAGGGTTTAGGGTTGAGGTTTGTTGGGGGAGGCAGCCCCCAGCTAAGAATTAAGGGAATATTTGCCAGCTAATTTGGGGAATATTCCCTAGACAGGTGCCTGAAACCTTTGAAATTGGGATGTCCCCCCTTCTACTAACAGTCTCAGTCTTAATAGGATTTTAGTACCCCCTGTCAGAATCCCTTTTTAAGGACTGTAAGTATAAGGGAGCACATACCAACTCTGAAATCTTAAGCTTAACCTGAGTAAACCCTAAACCCTAACCCTAAACCCTAAACCCTAAACCCTAAACCCTAAACCCTAAACCCTAAACCCTAAACCCTAAACCCTAAACCCTAAACTTCGCAATCGCCATCGAATTCAGGCTCTTGCGGCAATTTAGCCGCAGGAGGCGCCCCAACACGGGGTGCAAGCAGCCTTCAAAGAAGCGGATTCAAAAAAGGGGGTTTAGGGTTTAGGGTTAGGGGTTTAGGGTTTAGGGTTTAGGGTTTAGGATTTTCGGGTTTAGGGTTTAGGGTTTAGGGTTTAGGGTTTAGGGTTTAGGGTTTAGGGTTCCGGGTTTGGGTTTAGGGTTGAGGGTTTAGGGTTTAGGGTTAGGGTTTAGGGTTTAGGGTTTAGGGTTTAGGGTTTAGGGTTTAGGGTTCAGGGTTCAGGGTTCAGGGTTTAGGGTTTAGGGTTTAGGGTTTAGGGTTTAGGGTTTAGGGTTTAGGGTTAGCGTTCCCAGCGCAGTCCAAATCAAGGTTCAAGAAGCAGCCAATCCTCTGCAAGGCCAGCGAAACCGTCAAGGCATCAGTTGAACTCGAGCGCATTTGCAAACCCCTAAACCCTAAACCCGAAACCCTTCAGTTACACAAGAGCCAACAGGCCACAATTCCGAAGACCCTCGAACCGACCGAGGTCGAAATCTGATCCCGCTCCCCCCCCCCCCGCCCCTAAAGGGCCCTAAAGCCCGCATCCCCAAACCCTAAACCCTAAACCCAAACCCTAAACCCTAAACCCTAAACTGAGTGAGCCTTCAGGGTAATTGATCTGCATCGATGCCGAGCTTCTAACCCAACCAATAAACAAGAGAAAAAGAACAAAAGCACGATCAGAGTTCAAAAGAACCCTGAACCCGTAGAGGTTAAGGCGAGGGTGGAGTGCCAGCGGGGGTTGGCTTCTGCAAGTCGGGGCGCCTGGGTGCTTTCAGCACCGGCGCGCCCACTCATTGAGACACCCTAAACCCTAAACCCTAAACCCTGGACCCTAAACCCTAAACCCTAAACCCTAAACCCTAAACCCTAAACCCTAAACCCTAAACCCTAAACCCTAAACCCTAAACCCTAAACCCTAAACCCTAAACCCTAAACCCTAAACCCTAAACCCTAAACCCTAACCTAAACCCTAAACCCTAAACCCTAAACCCTAAACCCTAAACCCTAAACCCTAAACCCTAAACCCTAAACCCTAAACCCTAAACCCTAAACCCTAAACCCTAAACCCTAAACCCTAAACCCTAAACCCTACCCGCTAAACGCTAAACGCTAAACGCTAAACGCTGAACGCTAAACGCTAAACGCTAAACGCTAAACGCTAAACGCTAAACGCTAAACCCTAACCTAAGAAACTAAGCCCTCGAGGGCCCTAAAGAATCAAACTTCAACCCGGCTTCTGGCGCCAAGGTCCCTGCCGCCCGGCGCCCGCGTCCGCGCCCAGGAAGGTAAATGAGGCCAGTCCCCGAAACCCTAAACCCTGCCTAAACCTTAAACCTGAAACCCTAAACCCTAAACCCTGACTCTTAAACCCTGCTAGGGTTGAGAGTTTGGAGGAACTCAAAACCTTGCAAGCCTGAGCCTGAAGCCCTGAAAGGTTTAGGAACCCTCGGCCCGAAACCTTTAAAGGTTTCGGGCAAAGGGTTTGTGTTCGGGGTTCTACACCCTGAACCCTAAACCTTAAACCCCAAACCCTAAACCCTAAACCCTGAACCCCAAACCCCAAACCCCAAACCCGAAACCCGAAACCCTAAACCCTAAACCCTAAACCCTAAACCCTAAACCCTAAACCCTAACCCCTAACCCCTAACCCCTGAACCCTAACCTGTTTTCGGGTTCAGGGTTCATGGTTTCGGGGCTGCCAGCCTCCGAAGTCCAAGCCTTCTCCGTGTTCAGGGAATAAGCTTTCTCTCAAGGGTTTAGGGTTTAGGGTTTAGGGTTTAGGGTTTAGGGTTTAGGGTTTAGGGTTTAGGGTTTAGGGTTCAGGGTTCAGGGTTTAGGGTTTAGGGTTTAGGGTTTAGGGTTTAGAGCCCGAAGCACCACATGTTGCTAGATGCCCTATTAACCCAATTCTACCCCTAAGCCCACACGCAGGCGAGCACACCACGGCAGGACACGGAACTCGAGGCGGACGTGAAGACGTTTCGGTTTTTTCGGGGATATGGTTCAGGGTTTCAGGCTTGGGGTTTAGGGTTTAGGGTTTAGGGTTTATAGGGCTTAGGGTTTAGGGTTTAGGGTTTAGGGCTCCACTATAAGCCCGAAACCCTGAACCACAAGTTCCCGAAGTTTCGGTTGCCAAAGCCGAACGGGCACGTCTGTCACATGATGATGGGCCCCTGTGGTTCCCAGTACAGTCTCCGGCTATGCACAGTCGTGTGTGTGTGTGTAGCTCCTTGCAGTTTTGTCAGGGTTACCTTAACCCCAAACCCTCAGCCTCAAACTCTTAACCCTAGTAGACCACAACTCGCTATATGGTTCAGCTGGCACACGCCTCCTAAACCCTAAACCTTAAACCCTAAACCCTAAACCCTAAACCCCAAACCCCAAACACACCCAAAGCTCCCAGAACTCTTCTGAGAGCCTCCGGTTTACAGGGTTTATATAGGGTTTTACAGGGTTGTACAGGGTTTTATAGGGATTATAGGGTTTACAGGGTTTACATCGTGAACAGGATTTCTAGGGTTTATACTTGTTTTTAGGGTTTAGGATATGGGTGTTTATGAACCCCCTAGGTTCGGAGTCCCTGAGACCACTAACAAGGATCAACCCCCGGAGACTTCAGCCCTAAACCCTAAGACCCAAAAGCCCTATAAACCGACCCTATAACTTGAAGAATTCCCACGAACCCCCGCGAACCCTGAACCCTGAACCCTAAACCCTAGACCCTAAACCCTAAACCCTAAACCCTAAACCCTAACCCTGAACCCTAAACCCCAGGCGTGCACTTTCAAGCCTGACGTCCGCCAAAGTGGCAAGAGGTGGCGTGGGGTTGGGGTTTGCGGCTTTAGGAGCTTCGATGGTTGGGTTTAGGGTGTAGGGTGTAGAGTTTAGGGTTCAGGGTTTAGGGTGTAGGGTTTGGGGTTTAGGGTTTAGGGGTTTAGGGGTTTAGGGTTTAGGGTTTAGGGTTGCCCGTCGGAGGTGGCCGTTGGCCCTTGTTGAGAAAAGCCACCATATCCACAACTTGGGAGCTCGGAAATCCCCCGAGTCAAGAGCAGGGTTTATAGCAGCCCTTAACCCTTAAACCTACCAACCCGAAGGCTCAAGCCGAAACTCCTCATCCCGGCTTTTTCAGCATAAAGTTCCCGGAGCACACCCTCAATGTTGCGGGGGGGCAAGCCTCTTAAGAAGGCTACAGGTGCCAGTCGTTGCGTCAGAAGGATGGTCATTCTTGTCTTTGTGGGTACTTTACTAGGTTGGATTTTGGGACATTTTGTATTTTCCTCTTTGGGTTTATAAGGGACCCTATATATAAACATTTTTTCAGGGTGTTTAAAGGCCAACCCAGTTTACTGTAACTTTAGATCCTTACTTTTTTGGGGGTTTATCGGGTTTCTTATTAAGGCAGCTAAAAGTTTAATTAGCTACCCTCCTGAGTGCAGCCAAGTCTTGTGGCGTTGTTTAGTATGTTGCTTGCTGTGTTGGTTTCGTCTGCATTGCCGCTTAGGGCAAATGATCTAAGGTTTTTTTTTGCATTTGGGGCGTCTTCGTTATCCTTGTGAAGTTGTCCAGGGTTCAGGGTTGGAGAGGCAACGGGGGCGTTGGGATTTATCACTTCGGGTTCACGGCAAAAATGGTCCCAGGCTTGGAGTTCAAGGTTCTTGCTTAAATGCCTCGGTTTTGCAAAGAAACGGGGTCGTAGAGGCATCTCACTGAGGGCTTTCTGGATATACCCACTCTGTTTGGGGAGGTACACGCAACTATTGAAAGAAGTTACCTGAAAGCCGAAACCTTATTTACCAGGTGGTTTGGGATCTGTGGAGTTCGGAGGCCCTGGAGATTCTCACGTGCAAGCCCTATAGGGCTTAGCGTTGAGGGTTGCACTTGAGGGTTCTCCTTCTTATCTGACCTTAAGCCCTAGAGCCCAACCCTCTTCTACAGAAATCCAGAGAGTTCCGGACAAGCAGATTTTGGCTGTACCCGCAAAGCTTGAGAAACCCTAAACGGCCGTAAGCCCAGCCATTTTGTTTTACAGAGGTACGACAAGTTCAACTACCTAAGAAAACGGCAACCTGAGCTAACCCAGATTTCTAAATCCCCTGCGGTCCGATGCTGACCCTCCGAAGACCTTCATCTAGGTAGGGGCCCTTGGGATATGTCTTCTGGTGTATGTTGATCAGCTTAGGGCTTAGGGGTAAGGGTGAAGGGTTTAGGGACCTTCGCGTGGCTCAGCCTCACCGTCTCGAAGAACTCCACCTACGCGTCGCCACGGGGGCTGGGGCACCCAGCTCCCATCAGATGGGTAGGGTGGGAGGAGGGTTTTAGGCTAGGGTTGAGGCCGCCTTTTTTTTCGGCCGCCATGCGCATCTCAGACTCTCTCCATGCCTTAAAAGTGAGGGTTGCTGTAGGATGTTGGGATGTTCACGCTTATACTGACAGTCAGTCCTGAATAGGGATTGTGGTACCCCCCCCCCTAGTACAATCCCTATTAAGGACAGTCAGTATAAGGGGGAACATCCCAACCCTGAACCCTGAGCCCCAACCCCTAAACCCTAAACCCTAAACCTTAAACCCTAAACCCTAAACCCTAAACCTACAGGATTGCCGGGAGAAGGTCGGGTCATAGTTTGGGCTGCCGCCACGCAGCTCAGGTGGGAAGGGGTAGACTCTGACTGCAAAGTCGCCGGCTGTGAAACTGCCTTCTGGTCCATGTAGAGTTTAGGGTTTAGGGTTAAGGGTTTAGGGTTTAGGGTACCTGTAGCGTATTTTATAGGTGTGCCTAGATAGTGGGCTTTGACCACAGTCGGAGTCTAATTCCATTCTAGGAACGCTTGAAGACTCCGACGGTAAACCCCCAAACCCAAAAAGCCCAAAGGCTCCATGTACCCTTATAGTAGATACCTAGGCCTTAAGGTACCCTTGTAGGAACCCCTTTAAGGCCTAGGTATCTACTATATGGGTACATGGAGCCTGAGGGAAGCCCAGCAACCTGCCGCCGAGGGCGGACGAGTGTGCGAAGCGCCTGCGAAAGGCCTTCGCGGAGAAGGACTGGAGGTCCCGAGCCCGTAAGCCCCCTAAACCCTAAACCCTAAACCCTAAACCCTAAACCCTAAACCCTAAACCCTAAACCGGTCTGCGTCAGCCACGCAAGATCCTCAACACCCTGAAAGAACTGCAAGCCTTGCAAGCCCCTAAGGCCCCTGAAGCCCCCTGACAGCTCTGAAGCTCTAAAACCACAAAGTCCCAAAAGCCCTCAAAGCCTTAACTCAGCCCCAAACCCTGAGCCCTAAACCCTGAACCCTAAACCCTAAACCCTAAACCCTAAACCCTAAGCCCCAAGGTGCTTGGGTTTCTCGAGGCGTGGGGGCTTTCGGGGTCCGCAATTTCGGAGTTATCGGCTCTGTGGGGCGTAGGGATGTAGGGAGTTGCTGATAGGGTTTAGGGTTTAGGGTTTAGGGTTTAGGGTTTAGGGTTTTTAGGGTTAGGGTTTAGGGTTTAGGGTTTAGGGTTTAGGGTTTAGGGCTTAGGGCTTAGGGTTTAGGGTTTAGGGTTTAGGGTTTAGGGTTTAGGGTTTAGGGTTTAGGGTTTAGGGTTTAGGGTATGGCTGAATCACGGGTGTCGAGTTTAGGCATTCTAGGTTTTGGGGCTCAGGGGATGCTCGCTAAGCTTCTCCTCAGCCCTGACGACTGAAGCCTCAGTTCGAAACCACCGGCACACTAGTCCTAAACCCTAAACCCTAAACCCTAAACCCTAAACCCTAAACCCTAAACCCTAAACCCTAAACCCTAAACCCTAAACCCTAAACCCCGACCTGGGAAGTCGGGAAGGCGGCGTTTCCTAGAGGAGCGGTGCCCGAACTTCAGCCCGGGCGCCCTTTTTGTTTTTTTACTTGTTTTTTTTTTTTTTTTTTTTGGGGGGGGGGGGGGCGGTCTCAGGGCTTGGGGGGTCCTAGGGCTTAGTTAAGGGTTTAGGGTTTAGGGGGTTTAGGGTTTAGGGTTTTGGCCGGAGGGTTCCTAGGGCTTAGGGCTTCGGGTTGCGGAGTTAGGGTTTAAGGTTCGGGTGTGGGGGCGTAAGGCTTGGGGTCTAGGACTTTGATTTATGCATTCGGGCTTCGAGGATGTTTTTGTTGTGGTGTTGTTTGGCTTTTTTGGAACCTTTGGGTCTTAGAAAACTGGGGGCACCAGTTAGGGTTTAGGGGTTTAGGGGTTTAGGGGTTTAGGGGTTTAGGGGTTTAGGGGTTTAGGGGTTTAGGGGTTTAGGGGTTTAGGGGTTCAGAGGTTTAGGGGTTCAGGGGTTTAGGGGTTTCGGGGTTTCGGGGTTTTGGGGTTTGGAGGTTTGGAGGTTTACGGGCTTAGGGTTTAGGGCTTAGGGCTTATAGGGCTTATAGGGCTTATAGGGCTTATAGGGCTTATAGGGCTTATAGGGCTTATAGGGCTTATAGGGCTTATAGGGCTTATAGGGCTTATAGGGCTTATAGGGCTTAAGGCTTTAGGAGCTGAACCTCGCACCCTCAACTTGGCCTGATGATTCCCGTAGGCCTGACAAAACCCTTAGCCATATAACCCCTATCCTCACTAAGCCCTCAGCCCCTTGGCCCAAGAACCTAAACCTAAACCTCTACACAAGCCTAAACCCTAAAGGTTCAGGGTTTAGGGCTTAGGGTTTAGGGTTCAGGGTTTAGGGTTTAGGGTTCAGGGTTTAGGGTTCAGGCCCCTAAGCCCTAAACCAGCAAAGCGGTGTTTGCCCATCATCACTTCAGCCACCGAAGAACGGACGCCTTCGCCAAAGCGCGAGACCCTTGGCCCCCCCTGCAAGCCCAAGCCCAACTTGGGGACCCCAAACCCTAAACCCTAAACCCTACACCCTACACCCTACACCCTAGACCCTCAAGGCCAGGGTGTGATTCATTACGAGCAGGTCGTACAATAATCCTTCATCCTTCACAGTGCAGAAAAAGGACCAAACAAGCGTGACTCTCAGGCGCCAAAAAGACTCAACATGAGAAAACCCAAAAGATTAAAAAAGGCAGGCTGCCAGTCCCAGCCCCGGTCCCAAGCCCAGCCACAGCCCCGCCCAAGCAGGGTGTTGTTTTTTAAAAATCGAAATGTGAACCTGAGAAGAACTTTCACAGATGTATCTGATTGATACGGATTTCCATGCACTGTGAGACGTGAAAATGTTCGAAAAAACAGTTTAAAGGATCGACCAAATAAAAGAATCAAATTTTCCTTGTTTGACGAATATTCTGCATGAAACAATCTGAAAAGAAGCAAGCCTTACTAACTTTTTGCAAGTAAATCAACCAAACTGGTCTGGCTTAACATTTCCAAAAAGACCGTCAGAATGGAAGTAAAACATATTTTCAAACAAGAAAGAAAATTGCGATGCTACGAACTTTTAGGAAACCAAAAAAATCAAATTTGAAAAAAGCTTCAAAAAGAACTTCAAAGCAAAATCCACATGAGACCACCGCAGAGAGCTGAAAAACGACCAGTGACGCCTTCAAATGATGAGAATTGAACCCAAAAACCTCGAAAAGTGCTGAAACCTGCGTTTTGGTAAATGTGAAAAAATGTGCGCGGGAGAGTACTTCGCACCATCTGGCGGGGTCAAGATAAAGACATTCTGGGAGCCGAGTCCATCGTTAGTTTACCACAGGTTGGGAGGCGAGGTCGTGGCCGATGAGACTTCTTGACGAAGAAGAAAGTCAACCAAGGTGGGCTTGATGAACCTTGAATCTTGTTTAAATCTAGCCTAAGCCGTTAGCCCAAATGAAGGTGGATTTATTGGCAGAAGCACGCTGGGCAATAAACAGTTGGTTATGGGCTTCTTGGAGCTGGACTTGGCTGCTCTCAAAGCCAGGCAGCTGTTCTGGTTGTCATACCAAAGCGTTCTCAGCGCACCCTGCGATCTTACAGTTTCCTTCGCGTCCAAACAGTGGATATGTGCACTGCGCAGTCAACCATTCTCGCGGCGAATTCGTGTGGCTCAACTGGAGTGCACGTGCGAAAGTCTCAGAATTGAGGTTGAGCAGACCCGCAGCCAAGGTCGAAGCCCGCGGTCAGCTTCACTCGGGCTACAGGCTCGCGGCAGCCTCGGCAGAGATGGTTCGCGCGTGTTACTTGGCACATTGGTCCTTGAAACGCCAAGGGCCCCAGAAGAGCTGGACTTGAAGCCCCGTGAGCAGCAGGCGCGTGCGTGAACATGCAAACCTATAACGTGACCAGCCGTGAGACCAGCGTAATCAGCGTAGCCGAACTGCTAGACCATCGACCCCGCCAGGCATCTGATGCTGGTGAAGTTTGGGCATGTGCGCTGGTACCCGTGCAAGAGGGTGGACGACAAGTTTGGGCATAAAACCGTGCCGGGAGGCGAGGGAGGAGTACGGAAGGTACTACTTGCGCCGGCGTGAAGACGCTATTGTCGAAGACACAGTGGACTCCTGCCGGTGCAAGCACCTCCACTCAGACCCGAGCCAAGGCCTAGCTAAGCCAGCCATGTGGCGGGTGGACGAACTCGTCCTGAAGGGAGTGCTGCGCTGAAAAGATTATCAAGCGCTTAGGTTTTGCCAGTCGCGGAGTTCAAGCTATGTGCGACGGTCTTGGAGGGTCGTGGAGGCCTCAAGATGGCTATGTTAGAGAACAACTGAGGGTTGTTTGGTGGCCGCGATGGAACCCAACACGAGCCCCAACCCCAGCAACCCAGCAGCCCAGCAGCCCAGCCAGCCCCAGAGCCCCAGCCCCAGCGCCAGCCAAGCCCCAAAGTCAAAACGACGAAAGCAAAAAGCGAAATCCCGACAAAACTCCGGACACAAACCCTATACAATTTCTATAAACCCTAAACCCTAAGAACCCAAGCAAGACTCCAACGCCCCCCAAAAATCATCCCCCCCAAGACCTTCAGCCCGAACGATGGGTTCGCCAGGCCCCGGCTCGACGATGTCACGCGTTGAGGCCGCCAGCCACCTTTCTTTTCTCCGTGGTGCTCTTCACTGTAACTTCAGATCCGTAGCCTTTTTGGGTTTATTGGGTTTCTTAATCAGGCAGCGAAAGATTACATTGATAGCTGCCATGCTAAGTGCAGCCAAGTTTTGTGGCTTCAGGCGTTTGAGGGTTCTTTGGGAGTTTGAGGATTACTTGAGGGTCATTTGAGGGGGGGTTCTTTCAAGGGTTTGTGGGGGTTATTTGGAGGTTATTCGAGGGTTAGTTTGGGGTAATTTGAGGGTTGTTTGGGGGTTGTCTGAGGGTTATTTGGAGGGTTATTTGGTGGTATTTGAGGGTTATTTGGGGATTATTTGAGGTTACTTGGGGATGACTGAGCCTCTGAGGTTAGTTGCATGCTCCCCGTATATGGAGCCTTAGTTGGAGAACCTTTATAGAACCCAAAAGCCCGTACCTCTTAAAGAAGGTAAGGCTGCATAGTCAGGGACCATGCGAAACCCTGAAAGCCATGCGCAGTAGAGCTGCCTTGGACCCTAACATCCTAAAGCCCCGGTACGAACTCCTGCTTCCAGCGCCCCATGCGACTTCCCTTCTGCATCTGCCTAAGACCCTAAACCCCACTCTAAACCCTAAACCCTAAACCCTAAACCCTGAATCCTAAACCCTGCACCCCAACCCTAAACCCAAAACCCTGTTTATTGGGTTTAGGATTTAGGGTTTAGGGTCTAGGGTCATGCAGGCGCCCTCTTTCGAAACGTCGCCGGGCACGCTGTACAGCACAGGCAGGGCAACTTAGGTCTTGGGTTCCGGGGCTGGGGTTTAGGGTTTAGGGTTTAGCGTTTAGGGTTTAGGGTTTAGGGTTTAGGGTCTAGGGTCTAGGGTTTAGGGTTTAGGGTTTAGGGTTTAGGTTTTGGGGTTTGGGGTTTGGGGTCTAGGGTTTAGGGTTCAGGTTTACCCAGGACGCCAAGATTGGGACCCAACATGGACTGGGTAGGTTGTTGTTGGTATACGTAGCTTGTATCTTCCCTTGATGGGTTTGAGAGGATCATGGTTTTGGAATTGTTTTTCAGAGCGTGTTAAAGGGCCAACCTAGATGATGATTGTTAGGGTTTAGGGTTTAGGGTTCAGGGTTTGGGGTTTAGGGTTTAGGGTTTAGAGTTTAGGGTTTGGGTTTTTTCGGGTTGAGGGTTTAGGGTTTAGTTTAGGGTTAGGGTGTAGGTGGTTTGGGTTTGGATTGGCTCTCTCAGGTACTTGCACTTGTGTTGGGTCGAGGGCTGTTGGAACTCTGGGAGCCCTGGAACCGAGAAGCCCCTCTAAGCCTGAATTGGTCGCAAGCCTGAACCAAGCCCAGAGCAGTTTGGGTAGGGTTTAGGGTTTAGGGTTTAGGGTTTTAGGGTTTTAGGGTTTTAGGAATTTAGGGTTTTAGGGTTTTAGGGTTTTAGGGTTTTAGGGTTTTAGGGTTTAGGGATAAGGGTTTAGGGTTTAGGATTTAGGATTTAGGGTTCAGGGTAGCCCAGTGGCTCCCTTTCCCCTTTTCTTTGGTTCTGAGTTGCCTAATAAACTAACCAAACCCCAAAACCAGTGCCCCAGTTTGCTATGCGCACACTTCGTGCCGTTCTCGAGGCACCGCGCAGCTTGTGGAATCCCCACGGGATTCTCCACTGCTCGCATCTCAGGGGAGTGGGCGACATGGGATTTGTACTGGTGGGAGACTAGGGTTTAGGGTTTAGGGTTTAGGTTTAGGGTTCAGGGTTCAGGGTTTAGGGTTTAGGGTTGAGGGTTGAGGGTCTAGGGTTTGAAAAGACTTTGAGGTTTAGAGTCAAAAGTCTTTAACAAGGATTCAGAGGGTTTCCTACACCCTGAACGCCGTGCGTTCAAACCCGAGCCCCTTGCCCCCAAACAACCTGAGGTAGGTCCTTAGGGTTTAGGGTTTAGGGTTTAGGGCTTAGGGCTTAGGGCTTAGGGTTTAGGGTTTAGGGTTTAGAGTTTAGGGTTTAGGGTTTAGGGTTTGGGGTGGAGGGTTTAGGGTTTAGGGCCCCCAGCCCAACCCCTAGGTCTGAAGCCTCAACCCTGAACACTAATGCGGTTGGCTGTATCTACTGAGGGCCCCAGATGTGTAGGGCTCTCAGGTAACCATCTCTACATGCCATTTTGGGGTATAGTGTGCAGGACTTCAAACCCCTGAGCCCAAAGCCGTTCTCAGCACCCTCAAGGGCTTCTTAAACCCCAAGCCCTAAACCGTCAGCAGCTTCCTAAACCCTTAAACCCTAAACCTTCAAGAGCTTCCGAAACCCAAAAACCTCTGCTTCCGA